CCTCTCTGGCTTGAATCTGTGCAGGACTTGTGCATGTTGTCACAGTCTCTGTGAGTTCATCTATATACCAGTCACATTCTTTCTGGAAGACACTGTTTCCTTGGAATCATCCATCACCTCTGGCTCTTGAAATCTTTCTGCACCTTCTTCCACACAGATCCCCAAGTCTTGTGGGACAGATTTGTTAAAGACGTCCCATATAGGGCTGAGTGTTCCAAAAGTCTCTCACTCTCTGCATCATCCAGCTGTGGGCTTCTGTGTGAGTTTAACCTACTTCAACAAGAAGCTTCTCAATTGGGGGGGGGGGGTTGAGAGATGCTCAGATCTACAGGTATAGCAGTATTTCATTAGGATTCATTTTATTTCTATGTCCCTTAACAGAATAACAGCAGTGGAGTTTCCCCTAAGACCCATGACCTATATAGTCTCAGGTTTGTGGCCACTTTAGCAGTGTTAAGGAATGGGTTCCATTTCATGGAGTGGGCCTTAAATTAGATTTCTAAAGAATGGTTGGTTACTGCCATAACATCTGTGCCACTATTACACCAGTATATCTTGCAGGTAGGTCTCTGCTCTATGTCATAGAGTTTGTAGCTGGGTGATATAATGGTTACTTTTCTCCTCTGGAAACATGCAAAGTACCTCCCAGCACTATAAATGCTAGCCAATAGGGGTGAAGCTTCTAGATGGGCACCAGCTCAATTTCTCCATATCCAATGACTTAAGAGGAGTCTTCAGCAATAGGGTCTTACCATCAAACTTTAGAGAGCAGCCAATAGCCTTGTCAGTCGCCTGTGCCATTCGGTGGAGGGTGGCTAAGAGACCCATGTGGTCAATGATTCAAAAACATGTAACCTATTTCTTGCATTGGACATTTTATTTGGTGGTATATGATGCCTAGCTGGGGCATTGTCTTCCTCATTATAGGTGCACTCTATTTAAATTCCTCTCATATAGTATATGTTTCAGGAATCTCCTACAGCAGTAGGTTTCTATGTGATTTTTCAAATGGCCTTTAGTGTTAGTTGTCCCTCCTCATCTATCCTTCTCTTCCACCCCCTTCCTATTTAATCTCCTATTCTAGTGTCCCCTTTACCTCTTTACACACCATATTCTATTTCTTATCCTTGGAAGATCCCCTTTCCTTCAAGTGCTCACTAGCTACTCAACCTCTGTGGTTATTCGGATTGAAGCACACATATCTAAGTCTTAAAAGAAACAGTTTAGGGGGCTGGAGAGATGGCTCAGTGGTTAAGGGCATTGCCTGCTCTTCCAAAGGTCCTGAGTTCAATTCCCGGCAACCACATGGTGGCTCACAACCATCTGGAATGAGGTCTGGTGCCCTCTTCTGGCCTGCAGACATACACACAGACAGAATATAGTATACATAATAAGTAAATAAATATTAAAAAAAAAAAAACAGTTTAGCTGGGCGGTGGTGGCGCACACCTTTAATTAAAGCCCTCAGAAAGCAGAAACAGGAGGATCTCTGTGAGTTTGAGGCCAGCCTGGTCTACAGAAAGAGTCCCAGAACAGGTTTCAAGGTTACAGAGAAACCCTATCTCAAAATACCAAAAAAAAAAAAAAAAAAAAAAAAAAAAAAAAAAAAAAAAAAAAAAAAAAAAAAAAAAAAAGAAAAAGAAAAAGGAAGAAACAGTTTAACTTTCAATCCTTTTCATCCCTACTGAGCCAAATCCTCACTTGGTTTGGGGTGATCTACATCCCACAGGCGTGGAGCAGTATATGCAGGTGAATGTCGAGTGGAAAGTGGTCTCATTCCCAAGAGATATTTGACCCAACAGTCCTCCTCCGCAGTAAGATGTACCAGTCGTGACTCAATTACAGTTAACGGAGATGGTAGGCTGGCTCATTTTACTTGGACCACGGTGAGAGTCAACCTTATATTTCAAGTTTTAATTACTATGCTTACGAGATCCATGAAACAAAAATGTCTCTGGTCTGCCAGCCCCTTGCCCAAGGACAGACAGTCCTGAAGTGCTGGGGGCTGCTGTTTCTGGGAGATAACAAGCCACACATCTTCACTCCCCTAAACAAGTTTGCTGGACTCAACTACACCAGATGTGCTTGATCACATGTGGGCGGGACCTTCACAGGCAGGAAGTATTAAGTATATACTCTTACCCCTGACTGGATGCGTGCAGACTGGAAGTAGTCAGGATGCATGCTTGCCCCTGATTGGACCTGATGGAAAATGCAATGAATTATGGGTTTTCCTTTCTAAGCTGCTGCAAAGCACGACTCGGGGCCATTTTTCTGGGAACCTAGGTATGGACCTGGCCAAAGTCCATCCACCTGGCCAGTATTTCATTAAAGCTTGCTTCAGATTTGGCTTTTAAACTGTGGTAATGGTTTTATTCTCGACCGGTGGGATTAACACTACTTCAGTCCATGCTAAAGTTCTTCTCATCTTTAACTTAAAAGTTCTATCAAGAGTTACCCAGCATATTCTAGAACATTTCCTACCAAATCCCATAAAGCTATCACAGTACCCATATGGCCTGTTTTCTATGATATCATTGCAGGGAGTTTAATTAACTGTGTTGCAAGAACATAACCGAATATGCCAGTTTCTGAAGGGGAGCCAGGCCTGATGGCACACACATGTAATTCCAGCTATTCTGGGGGCTGAGGTGGTAGGATGGGGGTGTGAGGCCTGTCTGGGCTATATAACTTGGTCAGAGCTGCACTACTTAGTTGTGTCTCAAAATAAAAAGATACCACTGTGTAAGTGCTTGACTAGTTCACAAGACTCCAAATTCAGTGTCCGTTACTATTTGAAGAGAACAGGAGGTTAAAAGATGTCATTGCTAGTGAAGGAATTTTAGTGTTTGGTGGTTATTATCGGGACGCACCACCTCCTCGCCCCAAATTCAGATTCAGCAAAATTCTCCTTTTTTTTTAATGCCTTGTTTTTGTTCCACGTGAGTTCTTTAAGGGGCAAATAGTTGAAACCTAATCTGTCATGGATGACTAAGGGCTCACTAGCCCCGGTGGCGGCGAGCAGAAGCCCAGAGGTCACATCAGATCTCCAGCCAGGCCACCGCAGTCACTAGCCTGTCAGCACAGCCAGTCCCTCTGCTATTCCTTTGGTGCAGGACAATCTTACCCCTCTCCTTCTCCCTCTGAGGTCTGTTTGGTCACAGCCTCCTCCCCACTCTCCTCATGCAGTGGGAAGGGTGGACATCGTTAGACGCCATGACTACCGCTGGATCGGACGCAGTGTTTATTGGCAAGGATCTAGAGTCCCGGCCCTGCCTGGGCTCCCTGGGGAGGAGGGTGTGAACCCAACTGAAAATCTAGTTAGGCCCAAGAGGGGCAAAGGTCAACAGACATTCTCAGCAGGCCACAAAAGGGGACTTCCCAGTGACCTTCTGCAAGTTGCCTTTTGCAAAAGGCCAAACTTTGGAAATTCTCCTTGGAGATATTTTGGAGCAGATGGGATATTAGGGGAAGTGAGGAGAGTCTGCTGAACTTCAAAGGAAGATTACAGCTGGGAACGCACCCCCATGTTCAGCCTCCATATGCGTTCAATGAAAGGGTTCCCCCCTCCTACAAAATTTATTTAAAGAACATTGTCTTTTAAGTTTTAAAGGTGAAAACATACATAAAAGGTAATTTTAGTAACAGTTCCCAACATTCATGGCTCAGTGTGGGTCTGGATATGTTAATCAGGGGTGTAACTGTCTGATATAATATGGTTTACTGAAAAATACAGTCATGGATTGCCAGCTGTTTCCCTTTTCTCCAGTATTCCCTGACGAGGGCACCTGCCGTCTGCAGTAGGTAAAGGAGTCTATTGCCCTTCCACAGCTGTCTGTGGACCAGGGCTCTCAGATCGGCTTCCGATCCCTGTTCAGTAAGGCCAGTCATGGCGGGACCGAGAGCTGCTCATATAACCGATTAACACAATGCAGGTTTCGTATGAATTCCTGAGCAGTTTTTAATGAGAGCATCAAGACTGATGCAGTGTGGACCAGAGATGAGCATTTCCTTTTGGTTTCCTCACTGTCTCTGCAAAGCCCAGCACTTCAGAACTGATGCAGTCAACCAAGACTCCATAGGTGTGTGTGTGTGTGTGTGTGAGTGTGCGTGCCTGTGTGTGTGTGTGTGTAATGTCCTTCCTCCCTCCCTCCCATCCCTGTTCCCTCTTCCTTCCTTTCTCCCCTCCCTCCCCACTTCTCTTTCTCTTCCTCTTTGGTCAAATTTATTTGAAAAATGTTCACGTCACTTCAAAAACATGAGCTTTTGTGATAATCTTCGAGACCTGAGAAAACCACACTTTTCCCCCCAATCCATTATCCACAAGCCACAGCGTTTTGTGGAGTTCCTCGGTGTAATTAGCTGTAATAATTCCCATAACTACAGTGACTTGGTCCCTACAACTGAAGTGACTCATGTTTTGAGTCTCTTGCCTTCCTGCCCCATGGGCTCCAGCAACGGTCGACCAGAAAAGATGCTTATGGACCATCTAATGTCTTCTGATTGTTCGTGGGTTACCCCTAGCAACGGTAAAACTTGGGGCGAAAGGGAAACTTCAACCCCCTTCTTGCTTCTGTCTATAAGTTCCCCAGCTTGAGAGCCCACAGTGGGCTCTGATTTTTAGAGACCCCCCTCGGCAAAGTTTCCCCCAAATAAAGGCCTGGATTGTCCTAAGTCGATTGCTGTCTAGTCACTTTCCTTTCTTGATGACCATTTACAATCTCTGTGTCTCTATCTCTGTTATTGTCTGTCTCCGTCTCCATCTCTGTCTCTCTGTCTCTGTGTGTGTGTGTGTGTGCGCGCGCGCGCACGCATGCATGTGACAGACACAGTAGTGCTGGTACTGGGGTTCAGACCTATGCCCTTGCCATGCCCAGCAAGCTTCTCTCCACTAAACCATATCCCAAGTCCTCTTTTTCAAAAAAAAAAAAAAAAAAAAAAAAAAAAAAAAAAAAAAAAACTTCTGGGCTTTGGTGCTTAACCAAATTCAATACTCAGTTTCCTGTATTTTTTCTCAATCCTAAATAACAGATAGAAAAGGGGAGTCAATTCAATCTTTTACAAGATCCAAAGCTTGCTGTGATAAGATAATTGATCGAACCGTTATTTGATTGAAGATCTGGATTGGCTAAACACCGGTTTCAGTTTTCTGTCTGATCCCTCTCCAAGGGGCTTTGACAGTTGTCAGGGTGGAGGTTTTCACAGATCTCCTCTGCCACGACAAATGGTGGCTTTTGTGGCTGTGAACTCAGTGCTGGAAAACTGAACCAGGCAGACAGAGCCTTCCGTACCTTGCAGATGACTGATCTTAAATTCTAGTTCTGTCCGATCTCACATGTCTGCTGAGAACGTCCATCTTCAGGAAACACAAACTGTAAACACAAAATACTTCTTCTTAAAATATTTTGACTCAGGCATTATTTAAATCAAGAATTTCTGGCATAATTATACCACATATACTAAGATGATCCGTCCTTCCGCATGAATCCGTGAATGACAAGAAACAGTGTCAAACTTTTTGATGCTGTCTTCAACGCCTTCCTCACGTTAGTTCTTTCCACTGCTATAAGAAAATACCCGAAGCTGAGTACTTATCAATAGACGAAGTTTGGGGCTGGAGATGTAGCTGTAGGTAGGTGCTCATCTGGCAAGAAAGAGGCACAGCGCTACATAACCGGGTGTGTGGTGGTCACACTTGTCATCCCAGCACTCAGGAGGCAGACGCAGGGGCTTCCAAAGCTTAGTTCAAGGCTATTCCCTGTTAACAAAGACGTTTGCAGTCAGCCTGGGATACCAACACCTCTATAAACAAAACAAACAACGAATTAAAAGAAAGGAGGTTTGGGCAGAGGGTACAGCTTGGTGGTAGAGTGCAGGAATGTGGTGCTTGGGTTGGCTCTCCAGAACCCGCACCCCCCCACACACACACATTCTGATTGGGTTCATAGCACACACCTGAGCATCAGTGTGGAGCTATTAGCAACCAAACAGTGGCTGGTATCACGATGATGGGGGCTCCCTTTAGGGAAAGAGGTCACGCCACAGACGGGAAGCCACTCAGCTGCTGAGAGGCATGGTTTTTTTTTTTTTTAATAAAGAAATGGCATGAGAACTAACTGGGGTCCTGTGAGAAGAACGACTTGACTCCCTCCGAGGGAGATGCTCCCATGGTTCCCCTGGGCTCTGCCCTCCAGCATCTTCACAATGGGACCAAGCTTCCAGTGCACAGTCTTTGTGGGACACTCTCAAGTCCCGCCATCATCCCTGCTCTCTTGTCCTCTTGATCATGGAGATGGTCAAATGCGGGGTGCCATGTTTGTGGAAAGATGACCACCTAAAGTAAGTTCAACTTCCGACTTTTCAGCCTAGCCACTACATAAGACGAATGTGCGTTCCTTCCCTGGAAAATGCTTGGAACTGCCAACTCCTGCAGGGCTAAGCATGAGATGCCATGCCCTCACTGGGTCGGGAACTGCAGCAGCAGCGACCCAGAGCTCTGCAGTGGACAGGTGAGTGGTGTTGCTCAGCGAGGATTGCTGGTGACTTACCGGCGTTTTCTCTGTATTCACCTTGCCCTGGGCCATGTAGAGGACTGTGAGGACCCCATCAAGAACGGAGGGGCGTCTGTGTGTAGTAGCTAGGAATACTATGTTTCATCAAATGTTATTGCCTTGTTGCCCACATTCTACCATGTCCCCTCCTCACAGGGTGTAAGGAAGAAGGCAACATGTCTCGTGGAAGCAAGAGGTGTTCTGTGAGCCTCAGTATCGCTGTTTTACCAAGAAGGACGTGGAACCATAATAGGAAGATATCTCGGGTTATGAATGAAGGTGATTATTAACGTATGTTGTGAGACATTTATTTGGAATAGGGAATCACATCTCCATCACACGATTACAAGCAATGGCTCACCAACCTCCCACACACGAGTTGAAGTTCGGCAGTCAGTGGGCTTCCGATATGGACACATTCCTGAGAGAAAAATCGGCAGTTTGAATGTTGGGAACAACCCTACTATGCCTCACCCACAGCAGATTGCCTGGTTACCTGGTTCCAGGTCCTTTCTCAGCCTCATTTCTGAGCTATTTCAGATCTCAGAGAATAATTAGTAATTGTCAGTTTCCCAGGTTACCATACCACAGTGCCAGAAATGATGTTAGATCCCAGAAATCACCCATCTCCCAGCTTCAGAGACCACGTGTTTTCTGAAGGCTCGAGGGAGGACCCTCCTTGCTCCTCCAGCTCCTGGCGTACCCTCTCTGGGAAGCTTTGCTCTGGCCCTGGCTGGGTCTGCAGGCTGTCTTAGTGAGGGCAGCCTGTTGCTGAGTGTGATACACACCACGAGCAAAAGCAACTTGGGGAGGAAAGGGTTTATTTTAAAGCGTGTAGTCCATCACACAGGGAAGTCAGGGCAGGAACTCCAGGCAGGAACCTGGAGGCAGGAGCTGATGCGGAGGTCATGGAGGAGTGCCATTTACTAGCTTACTCAGTCTGCCTATTTAGATTACCAGAGTCCCCCTGCCCTGAGATGGCACTGCCCACAGTGAGCTGGGCCCGCCCACATCAGTCAATAATCAAGAGGTTGTCCCACAGACTCAGCTACAGGAAGGTTTTATGGGGGTATTTTCTCAGCTGAGAGTCCCTCTGCCCAAAGGATTCTAGCGTGTGCCAAGTTGACGTAAAACTGAGCAGGGGAAGGGCCTGTGCACGTGTCTGTGTGACTGTGTCAAAATTACCCTCTTCTTGTGAAGACACCATTAATGGCATTAATGCCTCGACCTCAATTTAGCAAAGGATGTTCCACAAGGAAATGGAGCCAGGTCACTGTCACCTCAGGCAGGAAGGACAGATGACTGTCCTAGAATGCATTTGTTTATTTCCTCTTCCCCGTCCCTTCCCTCCCCTCCCCTCCCTTCCCCTTCTCTTCCCTTCTATCCTCTTCCATTCCCTCCCTTCCCTTCCCTCCCCTTCCCTCCCCTTTCCCTGCCCTCCCTTTCCCCCCTGCCCCCAGGCTTCGCAGGTCTGTTTCTGCTTTGCCCCTCTTCCCAGAGGGTTCCGTGCAGATGAGGAAGCGCCCAGGACTTCACCCCCAATGTGGTTCCTTGTGTTAAATGCACAGCAGGAACTCTGTGGGACACACAGGGCAGGAATTCCTCATCTGATATCTGGTTTGGGGAAATTGAGAGTAGAAATGCCATGGGTCACAATTATGGCTCAGCCTAGGAGGAATGACTAGGTGGTAACCCCATCTGCAGGGGTCAGGGACCTGGAGGAGTGCTAGGTGGGGTGGAGGCACCATTCTCTACATTGATTGGGGGTACAGGGGAGCAGCAATGATGGAGGTACAGTGACCTTTAGAAGGGCTACATACAGTTTAACTCCCCAGATGTTTACTGAGTACTAATTAATAACAGCTATTAATCACGTGCTTAGTGAATCATGGGTTTTACCTGACCCCTCTTTTTTTTTTTTTTTTTTTTGAGACAGGGTTTCTCTGTAGCTTTGGAACCTGTCCTGGAACTAGCTCTTCTAGACCAAGCTGGCCTCAAATTCACAGAGATCCACCTGCCTCTGCCTCTGCTGGGATTAAAGGCCTGCGCCACCACCGCCTGGCTTTACCCGACCCTTTCACATGCACTGTCCTTCTCAGCTCTAAAAGCAGAGACAGGCATGAAAGACTAAGCTTTTAAAAGCTGGCTCGATGTGTCCCATGCTTCAGAAAAGTCACGAGTGCGTAGACAGACAGTTACCATCTTGAGCTCACCTGCACTGCTCCACCAATCATATTCTCAGCATTCCCTGAACGTCCCTACCCTGTCCCACCCACTTCTACCCCCTCTAAGGGAGACACTGTTGCATTTCTAGCGCTAGGCATTAGTTTTGATTGACTTCCTGAATGTTATGCAAATTAAACCATGCAATGGGAAAGCCCTGCAGGCTTGGGAAGCAAGACAGGCTATGGGCCCGACCTCCCTGTGTGCAGACCACACACAATGCAGCGATGTTTGGTGGGCACAGTCTTGCTGGTGCCACCGCACAGTGAGAATGTGTGGAAAGAATGAATGGTCAGTATGAGCCAGGGGGCAGGGCAATCTGTAGGCAGAGCTGCTCCCCAAATAACAACACAGAGACTTCTGCTTGGCAGATAGCTTAGCTTTTTTTCAACTAGCTTTTAGAACTTAAATGAACCTGTTGCTGTTAATCTATGTGGTGTCTAGGAGCCTCCGAGTTTCCTTTATCTCATGGACATTTTTCCTGTCCTGCATCTCGTGGTGTCTCCTCCTCCTTCTTCCCAGTGTTCTCCTAGTCTGACTCTCCCACCCCATCTCTTCCCACCCAGCTGCACGTCAGTCAGCTCTTTATTAACCAATGAGAGTAATACATATTTACAGTGAACAAACATTGCTCCGCAGCAGGGATCTGGCTGGCGCAGGGAGAGTCAAGAAGAAGGCAATGAGACAGAGTTTGATAACAGGACTTCAGAGGAGACCTCAGAGAATTAAACTGAAGCAGAAAAAGGAAAAAGACAAGAATAAACATGTGGAAGAGAGGGGAGACTGCAGAGCTTAGTGAAGCTGTCAACTTTGTAAGAAGTCAGCTGAATGAAACCCTGATCCCCTGAGCATCACCAGAAGAGGGTGCCACAGTCCCCCCCCCCCCAGGCTAGATCAAATCCTATCTTTTCCACATTCCCTGGAGCACGCTGGAGCTGTAGAACACCACCATCTCAGTCTTCAAGTGCTGGCTACTTTGGGCGAGTAGATAATTCACTGACGCCAGAGAGATAACAAACCAAGTCTTTACAAAGAGTGTGTGTGGATGTGTGTCTGCACATGTATGTTTTTGTGCGTGTGCCTGTGTCCACATGTGTGTGACATAGCTCTTTCAGACTGCTAGGAGAACTTCACTGAGCTCTTTGGAGACTGCTGGGGGATGGGAAGGAACGAGGAACAGCCAGTGTGACAAGAATAGTTGTCTTCTCAGCCCTCCTCAGCACCAACATCTCCAAGGCACAAGCCAGGCCACAGTGAAGACAGAGGAGGCACAGGATTGGCTTGTGTGTGTTCTGACTCTAATGATGGCCAACTCAACCAGCCAGCCAACCAGCCAGCCAGCCAATGTCCACCTGCCACGCCTCCAGCTGAAGTAATGACGCTCCTCCCAGCCTGCCTTGTCTTGAGACTACCTCAGTAACTCTACTTCTCTACAGGACTTTAAAGGAGCCCTGTTCTTTTCAGGAGCATCCTCCCTCCTGAGGAGTACCTGTCCACTCTTCCTGTCTTAGTGACATGAGGACATGGTGCTTCTCAGATTTCTAGCTACTACCTTGGGAGAAGACTGCAGGCTCAGACAACTTCCACCTTGTGCTGGGACATTCCTCTCCCCTCCCCTGCCTGCAGTGGACATTGGGAGGAATACATAAGCAGTAAATCAGCGCTTAATTAATAACAGTCGAGAGGCCACTGCTCAGGGGGGAAGGAGTGAAAGGTCTAGCATTAATGGAGAGCCCAGTCTCAAGGCCTCTGAGGCCTCCCTGCAGGCTGGGAGGGCCGGGGAGGCAGCTGCCTGCAGGGAACGCGGGCATGAGTCACTGGGGGAGGGAGGATGAGGAAATCAGCGAGGAAAGAAATGTGTCCGCCAGAGCGGCCCCTGCATCTGCTGCGCTCCAAAGCCGCTTGACTGGGTGCTTACGGATTAGGAGATGGAAGGAAGGATATAGACGGCGGGCATATTTATCTTTATTGACGGGATATTTTTGGTCCTGGAAATAAAATGCAGAATGTTCTGGTAAGTTGTTTAAGAGCTCTTATAGGCATAAAACGACCAGCGGCTGTGCAAAGAAAGCGCCAAACCAGGGTTGTAAATTCTCAGCCTGGCTCCTGCCTCAAGCTAGGACCCTGGCTCCTGGATTGCCAAGAACTCTCAGCGGCTGCTCTGGCCGGTTGGGTAGTGGGACCGCTTGCTTGAGAAGGCTGGGCTTGCTCAGCTGTCCATCCATTACTCATTCATTGGACATTTCTGAGTCGGTCACACACAGTTGTGGATACTCAGGAGTCCGAGAAGACAGTCTAATTCCAGATTAGTGGCCGTGCTCTTCCGTAGCCCCATGGGAGGAAATGGACCAGTTCCCTTCTGGGTCCAGCAACCTCAGGACAAGAGTATGAGACTCCCCAACAGAACTGGGAGATCACAGTATGGCCATCGGCCTGTGTCCAGGGTCTTGAGTGCATTTTCTCACTGTATAGAACACAAGGGACTGGCTCAGTGTCACACAAGGCTCCGAGTTGGAGATGTGCGCAAAACTCACAGAACGAACCAAGAAGCAGCTCCAGGCTTCCACTGGGAGCAGCTGAGGGGAGGGAGGCCTAGCAGAGGCAGGCAGCAGGTGCTGGAAAACACAGGTGCAAACAGCAAGGAGAAGACTGTTTTCTTTTTTCTACTTTCTACAGACCATGACACTTGCTAGGGTCCCCTAGAAGCATGGAGTACTTTTATAATCTCCAAATATATTTTAAAGGAAGTAGCTGAAAGACAGGGGTACAGCTTGTGGGGCAGGTGTGCTCTGCACAGGGCCGGCGGCAACAGCTTCACCTTCAAACTGGACCTTTTCTTCCCTTTTTGGAACCAACAGCAAGCGGAGCACCAACTGAGCAGTGAGGGAGGAGGAAGGAAGAGGAGGAGTAGGCAGAGGGAATGATGGTGATTACAGATACAAGGTAATGAGAAAATGAGGGGAAGCAGACATAAGTAGCTCGTTCTGGCAATCCCAACACTTGAGTGGGCCAAGGCAGGAGGATGGCCATGAGTTTGAGGCTAGTCTGGGGAAGGGGTAGGCTAATAAAAGTGAAGGAGATGGTTGTCTTTCCTGGAAATACATGGATTTCCTGGAAATAAGGCTCTGCTCCTTTCTCTTTTTTTCTTTCTCAGTGATAGCCTTGGCTGTTGTCTACTATCTTGGCCTGCGCACAGGGTCATGTTGTTTTGTATGCAAAGGGGATTATCATATTATCATGAAGTTAATCATTTGTCTGGTATCAATCACTCTGGCAAGCCATCTAAGACTCAACCAGTTTCAGCCAGCCTACCTGAAGAGGGATTTCAGGTCTCCAGACATTCTGTCCTCAAAGATAAACAAGATTAGGGAGGTAGATTAGAGCTTGTTCAAATGTGACTCTGGGTAACTTGGGGTGGGGGGAGGCGGAAGTAGAGGCTGTCTGAGTGAGTGGCTGAGGCAAAAGACCCCGAGAAGGGGTGAGTGAGGCCATCCAGAATCCAGAGGGTTTGGGGTTTGGAGTTCAAGAAGCGACAAAGGCAGAGAGCTTCAGGGGACTGCAGCAGGTCTGAGGGGACCCCAGGTGTTCATATAGGAAGGAGGTCAGCCTCCACCCTCTCCACAGAGCAAGAGGGAGGATTTAGGTAGAAGGGGATTAGGTGGGAGGGGAGTGGGGTTTGTGAGAAGGACACCTTGAGGACTGGCAGCTAGGGCTGCCGGAGCTAAGATTGTGTCGGGCGAGGCCAACAGGCGCTGGGGCTAGAGAGTGAGGGATTAGGACTAACTCTGCCTATTGATAACCACTGGATCCCCAGTTGTTGGGTTCCTCTGCTGCCAATGCAATAAGCCAAATCTAACCAAATTAATAAATCCCAAATTAATAAACAGAACAATGCAATGCGGGCACCCCCAGCTGGTCCTCAGGAAGGCAGGGGACAGACAGAACACAAGAGCACTTGCAAGCTAAAATAGCTGGTAGGCGTGGTTCCTGGCATCTCTGGGGGTGGAGCCAGTGATGGCTGGGGTTTTCTCTGGGGCAGAGTCTGGAATGAGGTGGCTTCAGGGAGCTGTTGCTTGGTGTGCTGAGGGCCTGGCCTGGAAGCCTCCCAAGCTGGAGATTCCAAACACTTGCAAGGATGACCCTGAGGACAGGGTGGGAATGGATTGGAATTCCTACACCAGCAGGGCTGGCTTCCAATTTCTTAGGGTCTTGATCCTAAACCATCTCCAAGGGACATCTCCTGGCTTTCTTGTCTAAAACCCTGCCATGGACCCTCCTGTTTTCCATCCCCGCTCAATCCTCCCCTGGGCGTGTGGCGTTACACAACACACTGTGTATTTCAGTTAGAGTCAGGAGCAAGCTTTGTAGGTGACCAAAGTTGCAGTCCCAAAGATAATCACATATCTACCTCCCGGGGGAACCTAAGTCATTTCCTAGACCAGGTTCCACCATAAACTCTGCCTGGTCAATGGGCTCAGAACAGAAATTCCGACTGCGGAGACTCACCCCATCGCACATGCTGAGCTCAGTTTTTGCTCTCCTTCTCACTGGCTGGTTCTTCCTCCCTGTTGGAAAATTTTGCTGGGCTTCTCTAAGTCTGTACTTCCTTAGGAGCAAACACACAATCATTATTCTCCATCTACGTTCACATCAGCCGAAGAAGATCAAGTTCATAGCAATGTATACTTTACATATGACTGATGAAAGAATGAACTTAAAGCCAACAGTCAAAAATCAACCACCCCCAAGGAAAAGGCAGCAACAACCGTATGCGCATTCTTAACACCCCTCCTGACTGCACGCAGGGGTCTGCCTTCTGCGGTACCCTCTCATCCTTCACTACCGTGAGATGTCCAACTCGACTCTGTCCAACAATTGATGATCTGTCGTCTTTTCCCTTACAGGTCTTGCCAATGTGGCCGGAGATGGGGACTGAGCAGAAATACCAGCGTTCACACTCCAGGGGCTGGAGAGATGGTTCAGCAGGAGGAGAGCGTGCTGCTCTTCCGAGGACCCAAGTTTGGTTCCCAGCACCCACATCAAGCAGCTCAGAGCAGACTAACGCCAACTCCAGGGAATCTGATGCTCTCTCTTCAGGGGGCACCGATGCACATGTGTGCACATGTGTCCACACACATGCTGCAGGACAACACATGTGTGACCTCCAGAGGCCTATGCAGCAACACCTTGGTCCCTGGGGTGGTGCCATGGAATGGCAGTAGACTTGAAGGGGTGTAACGCAGTGAGAGCTCCTCAGGTCACGGGAGTCATGCACCTGAAGGGACTGTGGCAGCTGAGCTCTTCCTCTTCATCTCTTCCACTGCCCAGCTATGAGGTGAGTGTTTTTTTTCTCCTCTCTACTAAGTACCCTATCATGGTGTCTCCATTGGCCCAAAGCAACCAGGCCAGCCAGACACTGACCTTATGTACACACATTACTGAGAAGGGGAGTGTGGATTGAGGAAAGAAATAGACAAGAGACAGAAGACAGAGTCTGGAGGGCTTCCAGTGAATACTGTAAGAAAAATTCCTGAGTTTATTACACACATCCTTAGATACCCCAATCAAACGGGGAGGGCACAAGACTTTCATGATACAAAGAACAACCAAAATTAATTACCCCCTTGCATCACAAACCCCCTTTCATCTTTCATCACAAACCCCCTTACATCACAAAACACCTGGTAACCGTGCCTAAGTCAAACATCCTGTGGTCTGGCTTTTAAGAAGCAAGACCTCCAATAGCCACACCTGTGCTCCAGCATCCTGTTGTTTGTCCTTGAGGAGTAAGAATAGGCTTGAACTCTCTGATCTTTAGTCAAGATGGACCGGATCCTAACCTGTGGGCTCTCACACTCTCCTCAGCTCCTAGCCCAAGTCCACCTTGGGAGTGCTTTTCCTTTCTGTCTTATTTCTAGTGCCCCATCGCAATCCTTTTTTTCGGCGGTAAGCACGCTGCCCCTGATAACCTGGGCCTTCTCACTGTGTCTCTGAAAAGCATGACTCTCTCCATCTTCCTCCCTCTGGAGCCTGCCAGGATGTTCAGTTCACCTGTGCTACTATTTTTCTCTCAAACACTAATAAAATTACCCCTGAACTTCCTTCTGAGTCTGATTTTAAATTCTTTTTAAAATAAAGTCGAGAATACAAAAGGGACCCCCCCTTTTCTCTATTAAACCCCAATAGAACGGAAGCCCCCCCAAAAGCAGATGCTGTGGGCTCAGTTGGAGACTTTTCATAGTCAGGTTGTATTTTAACGACCTCCTCCTCAGAGTGTGGCCTCCCTGGGAAGATGGCCATGCAGACACCATTAGGGTGGACCCATCCTGCCTGGCTGGATCCCCACAGGAAGGGGAGATTGGACACAGAGACGCAGGAGATAAAAGGAAAGGTTGGGGCCATGGAGCAAAGGTAGACAGCAAGCTGCTGTGGAACGATAGCTAGGGTACAGTCACCCTCAAAGTTCTCAGAAGGAACAAACTAGGGACACCCTGAGTTTAAACCCTGAGACTCAAGTATGGGACAGTGGTTTCTACAGTTTAAGACACCAGTGTGTGGGTGTGTGGTGTTTCGTTAGGGAAACCCCAGACGGAGAGATGGCAGAGAATTATTTAAATTTAATTTCTTCTAGACAAGATCACTTAGGTTATGGGGAGGTCTTCGAGAGGTCGGGAATGGAGAGTGTGGTCTTCCCAACCAATACACATCGCACATCCAGCCAAGTTTCTCCCATCTTGAGTTTCGTTTCCACAGACACAATTTGGTTTCAAACTTAAGAAAGAATATGCCAAATTGCAGCTCACGGTGGTGACTGTTAAATTCTGATGAAGCCTGACTTTGGTTACTGAATCAATACTGTTGGCTGGGGGGGAAGACCAGGGGGTGATTTGAAGATGGATCTCATCCATCCTGGGGGTGTTAGCATCAGCACTGGGTGATGCCCAAGCCTTTCTGTTTGTTTCCAGCAGTCTACAAACAGTGGCAAGATATGAACCTGGCTTTATAGAGAACCACCAGATTCTAGACGTGGTCCATAGGGTCTGGAGAGATGGCTCTGAGGTTAAAAGCACTGGCTGGAGAGATGGCTCAGGTCCTGAGTTCAATTCCCAGCACCCACATGGTGACTCACAGCCATCTATAACAGGATCTGATGCTCTCTTCCGGCTGTAGATACATAGGCAGAGCTAGCATACATAAAATATGAATAAGTTGAATTTTAAAAAAGAAGTGGTCCCACAATCTGGTGTAACCCTGGGGCATTCCCTCTTGCTAGTTATGGTGACAGGTTTCAGATATATTCCTGATGAGCCAAAGACTTTGAAAATGACGAAGAAAGGTTGTGTTCCCAACCAGCTGCTCTAGATGAGGTGCAGGGGAGGAAGCGGCAGAACTTAGGAGGCATCGACTTCTCGTTCAGCCAGCTGGGACTTGTTGAGTATCCCCCACGAGGGCAAGCCTCCTTTGCGGATGATGGGACCTGGTCACTAGATTCGGTGACAAGATTGTTTTGCACAAAGTCATTGGAAAATTATGTAAAAAGAACTGCTTCAGAGCTTGTAGAGAGGCGCTAGACATGCCCAAACCTGTTTTTGGAGGAGGTGGGTCACGGAGTCTCCTGCTGACCTAAATAGGCCCCCACTTGTCTCCTGTCAGCATATGCTGGTTTTTAAAATCCATCCTCCTTGCCTTGATTCAATAGGGACTGTATCCTCTATCCTGAGAGAAAGTGGAGTTCTCCAGTTGCATGCAGGGATGACTGAGGTGCCCTGACCCTGCCTTGCTGCTTCTTTGGAGGCAGCCAGAGCTGGGGAGCAGGTGGCATCTGGGAGGGTAAGGGGAACCTCCAGCCCCATTATCTAGGAGCTGAGAGGAAGTTGAGTGCTGAGTGCGAGCAAGTGGATGACCCCCTCCCTGAAACCGACTCCCAGGTCAGCTTCTCAGCCAGGCCACTATTTGCTTTTCTGATGTTCAGCTCCAGAGACGCCCTTTTCCCTTTTTTCTGCTTAGACCGCTGCTCAGTTCACTCTTCTAAGAGGGCTCTGTTTGGCTGGAAGCATCACCCAGCCCCTCACACTCATTTTGGAAATGTGTGAGTGGAAAGCTCCATTTCAAGCCCCCTCTCCTGGGTGTTGCCTTGGTCCAAACTCCACCTCTGAGAAAGCAGCCAAATGGTGACCTCTCCCCAGAGGGGGTCAAGACCACTACCACAGGCTAATTAAGCTCCCAGCCCCACCCCAAAGAACAAACACCAGTGGTCTCTCCAGTTTTCCTTCCCCTTTTCCCAGAGGGCCTCCCAGGAGCACTGGCAGCCATTAAACCTGGGCTGTTTCTAACAGAGTGAGTTCCAGGACTGTCAGGACTATTACACAGAGAAACTCTGTCTTGAAAAACAAAACAAAACAGAAAAAGCATTCCTTTCTGCATCCCTGGCTTCCAGCCTCAAAGGCAAGTCAACAGTTCCTTTTCTTTTTTGTTTGTTTGTTTTGTTGAGACAGAGTTTCTCTGTAGTTTTGGAGCCTGTACTGGAACTAGCTTCTGTACACCAAGCTGGCCTCGAACTCACAGAGATCCACTTGCCTCTGCCTCGTGAGTGCTGGGATTAAAGGTGTGTGCCACTACCGCCGGGCCAACAGGTCCTTTTTATGTCATTAAAAATTAATTGTTAATTTATAATTAGTTGTACTTGTGTGTGCCCGGGCACGCGTGTGTGCCCACATGCATATGGGTGCTTACAAAGGCTAGGAGAGGGTATCAGGTTCCCTGGAGCTGGAATTACAGTTGGTTGTGAGCTATATAACATGGGTCGTGGGTGCTGGGAGCCCAAGTGGGTCTTCCACAAGAGCACAAGGGCTCTTAACTCCTGAGCCAGCGGCCCAGCCCCTCCCTTCCCCTTTTTCAACCGGATACTCATTACTGTAGGCCAAGTTGGGTTTGAACTCATGGCAGTCCTCCTGTGTCAGACTCCCATCTGAGAGCTCCAGGCTTGGTCCTGTTTAATTCCTGCTCACCTGGAGATGGCAGGGCTGACAGAAGGAGTAAACAGGCTCAGCTCTCTGGATCTGAAGCCATCCCCCTGCAGCTGGCTATGAATCAACTCCCACCAGCACACTGCACAAGGAATGTTTTTCCAACAATTGGTTTCTTCCCCCAGTTAACTTTTAAAAACCATTGCTAGAAATTGCAAAGCAACAGTATACAACCTATCAACACAGGGGCTTGTCAGAAACGCCTTATCTCAGGGGATCTGCTTGGGATTCTTTTTTTTTTTTTTTTCATGCTTTCTTGGAGTCTTCCCTGGAGCCTGGTTACAACATTTTAGAACAGCGTGAGACACTTATGATTACAGCCCCGAGCCTTTCCAGTACCCTAGTCTGGACTTACCTTTTTAAATGTAGCAATGTGCAAAATACTGGAGGTAAAGCTAGGTTTGGTGGTGCATGTCTGGAATTCCAGGGTTCTTAAGGCCGAGGTGGGAGGATTGCTGAGAATTCAAAGCAAGCCGAGGCAACACTTGATTTCACAAAATAGCCACTTTCTAGTTGGATTTAAGTCGTGACCCACAAAATGAGACTCATACCTGGCCCTATTATTGTTGGGTGAAGAATCGGTAGCAAGACAGGTCCGAGCCGAGGCACGAGGGGGAAAGCCCACTCCTATTATTCTGCTAATTGACCTAATTTTAAACAGACATGGTTTCACCAGTAAATCCAGGCACCTCTGAACCCTCATCAGGAAAGCTTCTATTTTCGGTAGATGGTGCCACGTGGGGACCCACAAAGAGTCAAGGTGTGGAGAATGAGAGCCATCAGAATGCTCAGCCCTAAGCAAAACATCTACTGCACCCCCCCACCACCACCCAAGGCTTTTTTGGAACAGGAAGCAGAGACAGGAAGAGCCGGAGGCAGAGAATGAATTCAAGGGAACATTGTCCTTTGGACAGAGCAGGGCGCTGCACATATGAACTCAACAGTTATGACAGCATGCATAAACCCCAAGCAGTTTCACATGCAACCAAATCCCAGCCTGGAGAGGACAGGGGGACGTGGAGTCCCACCCCTAGTGGAGGGACTATTGGTGATTGATAACTGCTGGGGGGTGGAGAGTCAGTATCCCTGGCTGTCATGGAACTCACTCCTTAGGCCAGGCTGGCCCCAGACCCAAGATCCACCTGTCTCTGCCATCTGAGTGCTGGGACTCAAGGCGTGTGCCACCAGTGCCTGGCCAGAGAGTCGGTTTTCTTTAATGCATCCTGAGTTGCCCGTGCACCAATGAAAGGTCGTAGATCCCGGAAAAAAAGAGCAGCAAAATTAAAGGTGGCACACACCTTTAATCCCAACATTTGGGCAGTAGAAGCAGTCAGATCTCTGTGAGTTCGAGACCAGCCTGGTCTACAAGAGCTAGTTCCAGGACAGGCTCCAAAGCTACATAAAAACCCTGTCTCGAATAACAAACAAACAAAAAGTCTCAAAGAACTAACTAAAACGAAAAACAACAACGAAATCCAAACAAACAAGCAGGTTGGGGTTTAAGGAGGCCAAGCCATTTCAGATGAGATGAAATGTTCTTCAAAAGAAATACCTGCAAAATTGTATGCACCATGGAGAATGCTAGAAATACCTTGACTGTCCAGAGTAGGCTATCTGTTGATGTGGTGATGCTAGCCGGTACACTCAGTCCTTCAGAAAAGAAGGCAGGAGGGTTGTGAGTTAAAGGTCAGCCCCAGTTACCTGAGACCCGTCCTCCATCCCCAGCCTCCCCTACACAGAAAATGAGTAGGGGATTTAGCCAGGCAAATGCTGTAAACTCCCAGGAACAGACGTGCAGAAACTAGGCCCACTGCCGTGGCAGCTTTGCAGTGGTGCTACTGGCCAACCAGGCTGACCAACAGCATAATGTGCTTTTGGCCCCAGTCAAGCTGCCTTCCATAGGCATAAACATATAAATAACATGTAACATAAAAATAACATAAAAAATACTTCTTATTGACTCTGGTGGGATGCTTTTCTTGTTGAATGATCTCAACAACGTGGAGAAGGCTTCCACAGAGTGACTTACACCATCAAGGAGGAGGGATATTTTAACCCTCACAATAGCAAAGTTAACCCTCGAAGGTAAGGCTGAATTCCACCTAGGAGCAAAACTTCAAAGGCTGGAAATTCCAGCCCTCACAGGGGTCATTATTGTTTCTCCATTTTAATGTTTTGAGATAGTCTTATTCGGTAGCCCAGGCTGGCCTTGAACTCCAAGGGTGCCTTTTGCCTCAGCTTCCCAAGTGCTGGGATTACAGGAGTGTGCCACCATGACCAACCAGTAGGATGTTATTTTATGAACTTAGGATGGGCTTGGGTTTGCTCTGCTGCTAGGGTTTCCTGCCCCCCTGCAAACAAAGGGGGGAAAGGGGAGAATAGGGGGTACGCATGTCAACATCTCCAGGGGTAAACACTGCCATTTCAAAGACATTTCTATTTTAAAAATTTGTTTTTATTATACATGTATGAACGTTTTGTCTGCATGTGTGTATGTGCAGCATGTGTGTTCCTGGTGCCTGAGGAGGCCACGATAGGATGCTAGCTTCCCTGGAACTGAAATTACAGATGGTTATAAGACACCATGTGGGCACTAGGAACCAAACCCCAGTCCTCTGCAGGAGCGGAAGTCACTGAGCCACCTCTCGGCCTAAAGATTTCTTCCTATTTGGGAGTGTGTGTGAACGTGAGAATCTGTGCTTACGAGAGCAGCACCCATGGAGGTAAGAAGAGTGTGTCAGATCCCTTGGAAGTGGAGTTACAAATAGCTGTGAACTGCTCACTACTGGTGCTGGGATCCAAACTCGGATCCCTCTGCTAGAGATGTACAGTTCTTATCTGCTGAGCCACTGAGCCGGCTCCCCACCCCCACCTTTTCTTTTTTGAGACTTTGCAGCAATTTGTTTGCCCCCATCTCCTATGTGGAAGTGTGCATCTCCATGCCTGGCCTTACACTATAGTTATGTATTTATTTGTTTGTGTGTGTGTGTGTGTGCGTGCACGTGCACACGCGGGGATGCATGCTTGTATAGAGGTCAGAGGACAACTTTCTGGAGCTGATTTTCTCCTTGCACCTCATGTATTCCAGGGATCAAACCCAGATTGTTAGGCTCAGAGGCAAGGGCCTTTACTGAGTCACCTCCCCAGCCTCATACTCTGAGTTTGAAAAGCCCGAATCAGAGCTCTTACTAAGGTAGTGCCGAAAACACTTGAGTGTTGCAAAGACAAATTATTAAACTACATAGACCAAGTGAATACATACACACACACATATATATATATGTATACATGTGTATATAATATATATATGTTATGAAATATCACCTTTGAAACTCAAAACTCCCTCAATGTTATTGATCTTAAAATGAGCCTGTGTCTATCTAAAGTTTTGGTAAGCGGTTCCCTCCTTGTCATACAATATATGAATTTTGACTTTGAAAAGAATAGAAGTTTTCTCTCTCTCTCTCTCATCTATCTATATATTGATTTTGTGTTCTTTTCTCTACCTTCTCAAAGATGAAGCATCTGTTGCCCTTGTGATAAAGGAGTGTGTATATGTCACACATATGCACATGATTTTTTTTTTTTTTTTGAGATTGAGTCTTTAGGAGCCCAGGCTGGCCTCAAATTTGCCTTGTAGCTGAGGATGACCGTGAAGCTGAGGATGACCTTGAACTGTTTTCTCTCTTCAGCATCCTGCTGGGGTTCCAGGCACAGTGAACGCCAGGCTGAGCAAGGATCTGCTTTTAACGACGTGGGGAAAGCAAGTAAAAGAAAACTAGGACTCTCTTTGGAGTTGTTTTATTTAGTCCTTCCACCCCTCAAGTGCTGGGGACCAAACCTATAACCTCCGGCATGCTAGACAGGCATTTTACCCCTGAGCTATACCCTAGTCTCATTCTAGTTTATCTTTATTTGGCAAATGATTCCAGCACTATTTGGACCTAAATTTCCGAGAAAGAAAAAAGGAAGTGGAAAACCAACAGCCCCCTCCACTTCAGTGATAAGCTGCAGCTGGCTTCAGGGTAACCCCTCCCTCTCCAGGCTGCAGTGCGTTTGTCTTCTCCCCCATCCTCAGAAACAGCCCCCCTCCCCAAGCTCCCGCCCAAGTGGTCCCATGGACCTGCGGTGGTATTGTGGATTCTGAGTGTAAAACAACCCTCTGCCAAGCGGGGAGGAGAGTAAAGCCAGCAAGCCCACTGTAGAACACGGCGGGGTGCGGCAGGGAGGGGGGCAACTGCCCCTTGTAAATCCCCCGAGTCCCTGTAACGTAAAGTCGACAAGAAAAGGGGAAATTTCCTTTGGGAATTTACGCAGCTGCGGATAGTAACAGACACAGAGAAGTTGAACCGTGATGGGGTGGGGTGGTTCGGAAAGAAAACCCCGAGTACACCAGCTTCTCTGACCACACAGGGTGACTGGCTCAGTGCGGGTGGCATCAGGTACCTAGGACCTAGGACCTCGAGGGTCAAAAGTCTCTCGACCTACAGTGCCAGTCAGGAGTGTACTGCATGCGCTTTCCCACGATGCCCTCGGACTTGCCCGCCTTCAAGCAGGGTCCGTTCGTCTTGGCCCCCACGTCTCAGTCTTATTCACCTTTCGGCCTCCCACAGGTTCATTTGGTGGGCGAGTCGTCGGGATTAGCGGAAATGAAGAGGAGGCGTGGGTGAGAGAGAAGTGAGGGCCTTCTCATCATCTCGTGAGACACAGCCGGGATGACCCCTAGAACAAGGCCACAGCTCCTCCTCTTCAAAGTGACAAATCCTTACAGACGTTTCCGACGCACAGCCCCCGGGACAGACACGCAAGGGTCTTCGGGTGCCATAGGTACTTGGCGGTATCCGAGGCCAGTGGTTGCAGTTTCCAAAGTGTTTGGCTGCAGCCCTGGTGTCAAACCCTTCTCTTTCTGATCTGCCAGGATCCATTAGATTCCGTGAAGCCCCTCACAGCTCTGACCCTGGGGTGCTGTCTCCCCTCACCCAGACGTCCTCCCCTGAGGTCCTGGTCACCTTTTCATCTCTCCAAGAACTCTTTCAGGCCAAACAGCCAGCCACAACCAGCATGGTTCTGTATTACTTGAAGAGTCTACAGACCCCCCCCCCCCCCCCCCCCCCCCCCCCCCCCCCCCCCCCCGTCTCCCTTTCAGGTTAGTCGTACCAAATCAGCCTCCAGTTCCTATTTGGGACAAGATCGTGGCTGGGGCAGGTTCTCCCCCAGGAGGAGTTTCCTCCAAAGTGGACGGCTCCACCGCCAGCCCCGGAGTGGACGCCTTTCGGTGCTCCACGAGCCTGTCCAGGCAGTCTCGTGGGTGGCAACTGGCCCTAAAGCTCAGGCTGCCCGGGAGGTGACAGGTCGTGCGGCTACAGGAGAAATTGCTCCTCCTCCAGCCCCGGAGCTGGTTACAGAGCACTCCGGGCTGTGAGAAGGGGGTGGCTCTCCCGGGACAGGTACTTTCCGACTCTAGGAAACTCGCTCAGCTCTTGGCGTCCCGGGACCCCTTCAACACCTGAGTCCCCAGGGAGCCGCCCTGGGAGGGGCGGGGCGCCCTCTGTCCCTCACGTTGGCTTTCAGCCTCTCGAGTTACAGCTTCGGGTTCTCCCGTGTGTGTCTTTCCTTGCTCCGGGAAAAAGCGGCAGGGTAGCAGTGGCCGGGTCAGGAGAGGACCGCCGCCGAGCTCAGGACACCAGCTGGGAAGGCGCCCCGCCCGCCGCTCAGCTTCCACCCCTCCCGGCGGCAGCGCTGGGAAAGCCCCCGCGGCTCCGCCCACCCCAGGGGCTTTTCTCCAGTCGCCAGTGACTTTGCTTCGGGAGCGCAGCCGCCTGGCGCCGCTTTCCTCCAGGCTGGAGCGCGCAGGGGCCCCTGGCTCTTCTGCGAACGCAAGGGGCAAAAATCGGTGACCTCGGGGCGCTCCCCGAGTCGGGGTCCCTTAACCCGCACCTCAGCCCCCGGCCCGCGCCTAAGCCTCCAGCATGGTGCTGCTGGCTGGGCCCGGGCCGGAGGGCGGCGGGACACACTGCTTGTCGTCCCCGCAGTCGCCGACGCCACCCCGGGGAGCACAGACAGGGGACGACCCAGGGGACTACGAAGAGTACGAAGACTTCTCGAGTCTGCCGGACACCCGCAGCATAGCATCGGACGATTCCTTCTATCCTCCCGGAGGCGAGGAGGAGTGCGGCTCGGGGAGCGCCGAGTGCGTCCCGGAGGGCGTCCCCGAGGCGGCGACCCTCCTGCGCGCCGCCTGCACCAACGACGTGGGGCTGCTGCGGGCGCTAGTGCTGCGCGGGCCGAGTTCCGAGGAGGTACGAGAGACTGACCGCAACGGCCGGGTAAGCATGGGTTTGGGTTGGGTCCTCTCCACTTCCTCCCTCGCCCAGACCCCCGTGACACCCCATTTCTGGATTGACTGCCGCCCAGAGCACCCTTTCCTTCTTGTGTGGTGTACGGTAATGGGACACTATTTTCTCTGCTCAGGGGCGGAACCTGCGGAAGATGACCCATCCTAGCTTCCTAAAATGTATCCCGGTCCCGGTCTCTTTTCCGCCCCGGGGATCCCCTACTTCTCCCTGGAGGTTGGGAGAGGGTCCCGAAGTCCCTTCTATTCAGTGCCTTAATGACTGCTGCATTTCCCCAGGCCCCAAGCAGGTGACGGTCTCTACTCCTCTGCGGGGGACCACCTTTTCCTACCCTCGCTCTCCAGTCCCCTTTGTCCCCTCAGCCCCACCCGCTGCCCTTGCCGAACACGTTGGCGTCCGGAGTAAGATCTGAAAGCGACAGTTCCTTTCCTTACCCAAACCGCCCAGTCTTCCCTTGCTTCTCCTAATGGCCCGCGCGGCGACCTGCCAGCCTTATCTGCGGTCACCGCTGCAGGTCGAAGCCTGCAAGCCCTCACAGCCACCCTTCAGGCTGGTCCGGTGCTGCGCAGCACAGTAGCGGCGCGCACTGGGGGTCGGCAGTCAGGGAAGTAGGGAGCGAGACAGTCTGCATTAATTATGCCAAGGCTCAGAGAAAAAGCAAAAAAGTTTCAAACAGGAAAGGAAAAGTTGGAGAGCTCTTCCCACTGATCACGGACAAGGAAAGTGACCCCATTAGTCTCTTCTGGGTGGACAAACAAGCTCACCTGATTTCCATGTTCCCGGAGGCCCCTGGGTTTCTGCAGACTCAGCCTTGCACAAATTAGGGACGCCTGTGCTTCTGCTTGGGCGTCACAGCTGACGGAAAATAAGCGCTTTAATATAGGGACGTGGTGACCCCGTGCCTTTGGCTTATCTTGGGGTTGTGTGTGTGCAGTGGTTTGCCTCCGACTGCAGTCTGGGTCAGACTTTGGCAAGTATGAGACCAGTGTGTCACTTTCTGGCTTTCGATAACCCGGCAGCCACTGAACTTGGAGGAACGGTTCGTGCTTGTAATATGTCAGGGAGACCTGTATGATGAGAGCAGTACTAACTACCCTGGTGCCCTGTGGTGGCTGTTCCAGCTAGCATGCCGTAGGAGGAAAGACTCCAGGGGCTGTTTCTCTGCTCCACTTTCAGTTTAACTAAGCGAGTTTTCCGGGTCAGGTGTTCCCAGTAGAAACCTCTCCTTTCTGAGCAAGCAGAGCCGCGTCTTGAAACTACCGCCTGCGACCTAGGGTCTCTATGTTTGGGGTGGTCTTCACTGGAAGCCTTCCCGTGTGAGTGGCCACTGGCCTCTTCAGGTTTCTTGCGCTTTCTGGAGGGGGACGGGCGGACAAACAAACAGTAATCAAAGTTTGAAAGCCGCCAGAAAAGCTGAGAAGTCAAACCACCCGGGAGGCTTGAGCAGGGCAGCTCAAATTCCAGGACCCCTGTAGAGTCCCTCCCCCCCCCCCCCCGCCCGGAGGCCCGGGACCAGGTAGGAGTCTCCGAGCAGTTCCTGTTTTCCCTTAGAGACGGTCCCTTCTGCACAGTTTGTGAGCCTGAAGTGCCGCCCTGCCGCGGAGCCCGGAGAAGTCCGGCAGACTCGGCCCTCTTTACCTTCCCCCCCCCCCATTACTTCTTCATTTGCTTCTCTCTTGTTCTAAAGAGAATGTAGTCCAGCCTGTAGTCCTTGTGCTCCGTACTTTGCTCTGTCCCCCCCCCCCCCCACCTTCCCTTGCTTCTGAAGATCGAGACTGAAGGGCCTTGGTTCTGCTTTGAGCCTCCACCTCTTTGTACCCATCAGATGCCCCTGGAGACCCGAGGAAAGGGCCCTGGGCTTTTTAATCTCTGTGTCAGAGGACTAGGTCCATGTTCTGTGGACCCTGTGAAAGCAACAGACTGCATTCTTTTCTTTTAAATTATTTTTATTTTATGTGCATTGGTGCTTTGCCTGCATGTATGTCTGTGTGAAGGTGTCAGATCCCCTGGAACTGGAGTTACAGACAGTTGTGAGCTGCCATGTGGGTGCTGGGAATTGAACTTGGGTCCCCGGGAAGAATAGCCAGTGCTCTTAACTGTTAAGCCATCTCTTCAGCCCCCAGATTGCATACTTACCATTAGTTATTAAGGAGAAAGCAAGAGACTTAGGGAGTCGGGTGGCAGAAGACATTTTGGTCAGGCGGGTGGAGTCAGGGGCTGGTGGCAGGTGCACTGTGGTTTGGTCACGGCCTGGAGCGGAGAGAGGGGCTGTGGGAGCCAAGGCTAGACAGGGCCACCTAGGCAAGGTGAAGAGTACCCAGCCTCCCTAGCTGCCTGGGAAATAAGGGAAGCTAGAGTGTCAGCTCGCCAGGGAGCCAGGGACCCCTCCGGTCTGTAGCAGTTCACGTGCCTTCTAGTGGTCACATGACTCACTCCCTCGCTGTGTCTCTGTCTTAGGGTACTTTCTCTGGAAGGCCTTTCCACCCGCCCCCCATCTAAGCCCAGAGCCGGCTTAGCTATGTGTTGAGACACCAAGGACTGAGATTGCCCCTTAGATGGTCATTTGCGCACCAGGAGGACTGTCTTTGAGCGGAGAGGGGGAAAAGTACAAAGGTCCTGCCTGAGGCAAGAGCAGTGAGTGTCCCAGCCTGGTCTGGGTTGATCATTTGTCCTAAAGTAAACTTTAAAGCAGGTCTAAGAGCTTTGGCGAAATAACAGTGGGCCGGGTGACAGCTGGTGAGTGCCTCTGAAGCAGGGCTTCTCAACCTGTGGGTCGAGACCCCTTTGAATAACCCTTTCATGGGAGTCACATGTCAGATATTTATATCATGATTCATAACAGTAGTAAAATTACAATTATGAAATAGCAACTAATAATTTTTTGGTTGGGGGTCACCACAACATGGGGAGCTGTATGAAAGGGTCGCAGCATCAGGAAGGTTGGGAACCATGGCTGTGGAGGGCTCACTTCTTCAGAGGCCCAGTCTGAGCTACAGGTAGCTGAGGACCGCTTGGGAAACTAGGGGATGTTATTGGCCATGCAAATTTGCTGCCAAATCAGTGTTCTGGAAGGATCTCAGAACCGACTGTGTAGCATTTTAAATATTTATCACTTCATTTTCCAGGAGCACTGAACACATGCTCTTCCTGTTTTGGGGCAGAAGTTGTTTGGTTCCTCTCATTAAAGGATGGTGAAACCCTCCAGAAACCCTTTTCCTAATGGTTTTCTTTGCATCCTAGCGTATAAGTCAGGCTTACTCCTGCAGCCCTGGCGGCTCTCCTTCGTTAACAGAAAATGGAAGACATATTTGTATCATTGTAGTTGTGGTGGAAGGGTAGGCTGATGTCAGACTCCTGGTCCAGACTATGTCTGTAAAGCTTAAAGTGCCTCTGTATGGTGACATCCCAGGAAATTTCCCAAAGTCACTGTTCATTTATTACCAACACAGCAAAGTCCCCCAGCATGGGGTGTCTCCCCTCACACAAGAGTCTTGCATCTCCTGTTTTACAGATACTTGGGTGTGACCAACACTCTCTCCTTGAAACGCAATTGAGAAATTTGTTGCATATTTTTAATGAAGGATTTATGATGAATGTAGGAATCCCCTCTTTTTACAGTGAGGGTCACAGCGTTGGAATTCAGGCACAGCCCTCCATTCTCCTAGGCTTCAAATGCCCTGTGCATGCATAGAAACCGGCTTACTCACAGGGAAGCTGAACTTCCAGGTCTGCACTAGTTACCATGGAGAGTTGGTTCTGGCCTCGACCCTCCAGCGCTTGCCAGGGGCCAGTGCACACAGGGAAAGGCTTCTCTTGCTGTTGTCTGCCTCCCATCTTGTCGTAGGAACATTGTGATCGATTACAAGCCCCGCAGTATGGAGCTTGGCTTTATGTGGGTCCAAGGGGTTCAAACTTAGGTCCTTGTGCTTGTGTGGCTAAGGCTTTACCCACTGAGCCTCCTCCCTGGCCCACTGTGTTCTTGTTTGGGTTTCACTCTGGACTGTCAGGAAGGAGAGAAGGGGGCATTGGATAGTGTTGTACTGGGAACTCCAAGGACTGCATTAAAAGTGAATCCGCTCAGCTTTTGGGAACCTATTCTCTAAGCCTCCTTCTGCCTTGTTGCAGGGAGAGGAGTTTGGTCCTGGACAGCTTGATATGCCATGTTTTGTTGACTCCCATGGAAGGCCTGCCACTTTCTGACTGGAGGAGGAGAGGATTGGGGATTGGGGTGGGGGTCGATGGAAAGTGGGGAGAGGGAACAGGAAGAGGGGGGGAGAACTTTGGTTGGTATGTAAAATAATTGAAAACATTTAATACTATAAAAGGGTGAATCAGCTCAAGTGATCAAGTGAGCCTGGGGAGACTGGGTTTGTGGTAGGTGGCCAGCTCTTCCTCCTCTGGTGACCTTGGGTGTGTGTCCAGGCCTAGCATCCACAGAAAGGAACTTATAGGTTAGGTATGAGGATATCAGTTATCTGTGGCTGTGTAGTGTTTTATATGTTACTCAGTCCTGTGTACCTACAGCAAATATATTGAGAAATATATTTGAGAAAAATATATTAGTCTGGCTTCATCCTTGTGTGACTTTCAGCCCAAGCCCATAGAGGCCTCTGCATGCTGCATGGCCCGGACTGCAAGGCCGTGGTCCGGGAAGTTTCCCTGGATGCAGCAGTAGGCCCCTCAGTCTTGTAGTCTCCTTTGAGGACTATAAGAACCTCATGCCTGGCCCCACTTTCTGTTTATTAGGAGTACTATCAAGTTTTTAACCCAGGGGCTGTACAGGACATTTACACAAGTCAGAGCACCATGGAGGAACTCACCCCGAGGGAACCCCGGGGGTTCAGTAGTAACTGCTCTGCTGAGGCTAACCAAGTGCAGCCTATGGAGGCGAGATTTTCCATTTGCTCCCAGCTGGTGGCGAACTGCAGATGGCAAGACCAGGATGGTCCCTGCTGATGACTCATCTCTGCTCCTCGTGACCGCTCGGCTTCCAGCAGGCTGGTCCTGCTGGCTTTCTGTGGCACACGCAGGTTCAGGAAGGCCAATTTTGGCCCAGGTTTAATTCCGCTTCTGCTGGAGTAAGTCACAGGTCAAGTTCAAGTGGAGACAACAGACTTTTCTCTCAGTGGGGGAACTGTGCGCTGGGGGTGCAGGGGAGAGAGGCTCTTCCTTCTGTCAGTCTATCTGAGGGAAGGTGAGGTTAAGTCTAGGACTACGATGTGCCCTTCCCTGGGTGTCTCCATCAGATTTCAAGACTTTGGATGTTTACCTGCTGAGCAGTGGTATGTGTGTATGTGTGTCTATCTGAGTTCATGGCAGGTACTTGGGCACTCAGGAGGTCATGGCTTGAGGGCAACCCTGTTAGAGCAGCGTGGTTGTGCTGGCGGGGTTGCTCTCTGTTGGCTTCTCTGAGTTGGCTTAAAGATGCTCATTCAGCCTCCATGTCTTCAGGATGCCTGGGACTTCCAGGCCACTGAAACAGCCTTTGACTCAGAGTTCAGCTTCCAGGAGGCAGTGATGAGTGGGTGGTTATTTCAGAACAGGTGAGGGGGTTGACAAGCTGGCTCAGCAGGGAAAGGCGCTTGCTACACATGGCTAACAACCTAAATTTAATCCCAGGAGCTGTCGTAAGGGTGGGAGGAGAGAATTGACGGGAAAACGTTGCTCTCTGACCCTCCCCACATGCATGCCGAGTCGTGCGTGCTCCAGGAAATGGTTTATCTTGGCTCACAGTTTCGAAGGTCTCAGTTCACAGTCACTTGGGCCCGATGGGTTAGGCCTGTGACCACACAGTACAACGTGGTGGGAACATAAGATAGGGGAGGCTACTCACTTCATGGCCGTCAAAAAACGGAGAAAGAAAAGGGGGCTGAGGTACTATTATTCATTCAAAAACTTTTTCCTAATGGTCTAACTTCCTCCCAGTAGGCTCCATCTCCTAAAGTTTTTTTAAAAAATATTTATTTATTATATTATGTGTACAGCATTCCTTCCACGTGTGCCTGCAAGCCAGAAGGGGGCGCCAGGTCTCATTATAGATGGCTGTAAGCCACCATGTGGTTGCTGGGAATTGAACTCAGGACTTCTGGAAGAGCAGTCAGTGCTCTTAACCTCTGAGCCATCTCTCCAGCCCCCCACCTCCTAAAGTTTTATCACATCCCAGTAGTGATACAAACTGGGATCAAGCCTTCAACACATGAACCTTTGAGGAACGCTCAATGTCCATTTTATAGTGAGATAATGTATAGACCCCTTTCATTTCATAGCTGCTAACAGGGGAGCTCTGGGGCAGGCAGGAAAGCTCAGAGGATAGAGCCACTCGCTGCCACATTCGAGAAACTCAGTTGTCCTTGACTTCCATATACGGGCTCTGGGGTGTTAGCCCATGGGATGTTAGGTACATCCTCTGTTGGACGTCTCCCACTGTGTTGACCACTGCTTCTCTTGATTGACTGTTACTTTTGCTGTCCAGAAACCTCTGGGTTCCATTCATGTGGTCCTGTTTTCAATTGTTGGCCTCATTGCCTGAGCAACTGGATTCCTATTTAGACATCTTGACCTGTGTTTGTGTGTTACAGTGCACTCTCTCCTGCCTCTTCCAGCAGCTTCAGGTTTTCCATGGAGGTTTTTGATTTATTTGGAGTTGTTTTTTGTACAGTGAGAGATAAGGGTCCAGCTCCTTTCTTCTGCACATGAACATCCAGTTTCTCCGACGTCGTTTGTTGAAGTTGTTCTCTTCTTGTTAGTGTCTTTGGTCTTTGTAAAGAATTAGGTGGCTGTGGTTGTGTGGATGTAAATCTGGGTTCTCTAGTCTATTTACATGTCTGTTTCTGTGCTAATACCATGTTGTTTTTGTTGCTATAGCTCTGCAGTTTAGCTTGAGACTGGGTATGCTGAGGCATTGTCTTTTTGCTTAGAATTGCCTCTAGTCCTCCCTTTTAATTTCTTGTGGACCGCTGTGGACAGCTTATTGGGGATAGGAATTCTAAATCATAGCCACAGGGCATACATAAGCCTTATGTAAATATAATCCCTTATGTAAAACAATATGTTATCTTATTTTTTATTAGAAAGAGTAAGAAGAAAACAAGTTGTTGAATTGAGCAAAGGCAATGTGTTTCATTCAAGAAGGTTGGGAAATAATTCACGTAGGCAGTCTGGTGTGTGTGCGCATGTGTGCGCATGTGTAATCAATGCCATCGTGATCTTCATCTCGCCTTCCCTTAGCTTCCTGATCTCCATGGAAAGAATTCAGATGAGATGCAAAGAATGGTGTGTATGGTGTAGGAATTTATTGCGGAGTAAATTGCATCATTCCCAGTGGGTGAGGTTGTCCAGTGGCCAAAGAGACCCTTGCAGAGCAGAAATACTCTCAATGGCTGAGCATGGGCCGTGGCCGGAGATACTACTCTGTAGGATGTTCTCTCTGGGTGAGCAAGAAGAGTGGCCAGAGAGGTCATTTTCCCAGCTTAGAGTTCAGGCAGATTTTATACTATTGTAAAAGTCTCTGAAACAGCCTTCCCAATGGTCATTTTCCTGTCAGGTGATTGACAGGCATGTTTGGCTTGACTCTCCCAGGAGGGAACAATGGTCTGTAAAACCTCCTGTTAGATAGTGTCTTGAAGGAGTCAGAATTCCTGGAAGTAGTGCTAGATACTGATAGATTGGTGACCTTCCAGGAAGTCCAGAATGTCATGCCTCCTCCCAGGGCCAGAGCTAGAACTCAGGTCCCTTTCCTTTGGCAGGTCTTTTGAATCTTACTACTCCAGTTCTTGGTTTTTACAAGGAATTAATTATGAGGGAGGGGTCCATCCATACCCAATGCCTGTCAAGTGTGAGGATACCTACATGGATACCTAGCAATGCTAAGGGAAAGGACTGGGCAGGGAGGGTGAGGGGTGGGAGCCACAGAGTTGTGAAGAACACGGGAAAGACAGAGCGTGAATGTGATCCTAGAGCCTTTTGTCACACTCAGGATCTTGCGTTGTAGATGAGGTAAGATATTAAGGATTTGGGAAGAGAAATGGCTTAGAGATTTAGAGTTCTTCCTGCCCTTCTAGAAGCCTCGAGTTTGGTTCCCAGCACCTGTCCTGGGATGTCTCAGCTGAGAGAGGCACAGGTGGGTGTGTGGATGATGAGGTGGGGAGTATCCATCTCCTTGTGCTTGTGGGAAGTGTCAGTTAAGGGTGTTGCATGTATAGTACCCATTCCTCCAACAATATGTATTTGTTGTTTGTTTATTTAGTTAGGTTGGAGCCTCAGGCCTCATGTTCTAGGAGAGTGTTCTTCCATGAAGCTGGTTAAAATAGAGAAGTTGGAACTCCTGGTGCAAGCCTGTAATCTCAGTTTCTGAGGAAGTTGAGACAGGAGGATCAAACGTTCAAGACCAGCCTGGGCAACTTAGACTCTATCTCAAGAAGTCAAAAGAGGGGTGCATCTCAGTGGTAATAGTT